CTGGTACTTCGTCTCAGACACCTTAGAACCAATAACAGCCACCTCTGGACCTAGATAGCTCCTCACGGATACTTATGAGACATGTCCGCATGTTACCCGAGATCGACCCTTTATCCATGTGTGGAGTCCATGAAAAGGGGGATGGGCTGATCCGAAGGTCCTCCTGCTGACAGTCTGCACTGATTATCTAGCTCCAGCAAAATGGCGCTGAAGAAAGTGGTTGACGCGAGAAGCTTAGGCCATGCATTGAATGGGTGATGCGAGATGGGTGAAAGATGGGAGGGAGGGTGTGGAGTGTTGCGGGGGTTACAGTGTGATTGTTTTTGCCAGATCATACATATATCGATTCGGAGATAACTGAGTTTGCAGGGGGTGGTTATGCACATAATTCGGATTCAGGCCAGCAATTGCGCATCCAATGTACCCATCTAGCAGGCGGGAAAGTCGACCTGTGGTGACCCACGCATCCTTGCTCCCCCTTATAAAAGGAGTAAAACGCGCAGAGAAAGCCAACGCTGTTGACCCATTTGACAGCGGGGAAGTTTTGGAGGGGGAGATGAACGGTGGGAGTTCTTATTCAAGGGTGGGGCCTAGGTGCCGGCGTTGGAAGATGAAGAAAAGAGGGAGGGGCGAGTAAGTTGGATGTTGTGTGTGTTCTAGCGATGCATTCTTCCCGTTCCCGAATAATGTGAATCGTGCATGGAAGAGCGGGATGAGCTGCCTTGTGGCGCCGAGGGTGTTGTGGATGAGGAGTGTATCAAGGCTTGGTCAAGGCGGTGGATGAGCATGGAATTGTGTTTGTGCCAGGTTTACAAGGGTGTGAATATGAATCGTTGAACGCGAGTTTATCTGCTCTTTAGGAAGGCCATGGTGCCATGTCTGGAACCAATTTTAAAAAGAATCAAAAATCAAAAACTCCATATGTTGTGCACTATAAATTATGTTGTTTTGAAGGGTGGCTTAGCTCAACGGAAAGATCTAATTAAGACTGATAATGTATTGCAAGGTCTCTGGTTCAATTGCTTCAGGCTGCAATTTCTTTTCTGAAAAATATATTGCTCTGACTTCTTCTTACTCTCCTATTTGCATATTTATGCACCAAAAATCTCACACCACCACTTAGAAATTTATAAACACCAGAAAGTATGGATATAAGTAACTCAAACCAATAGATTGGGAAAGAATTCATGAGAATTGACATTTTCCCCTTCCACCTCTTCCTGCACATGCATACATCTGATCCTCTCTTGCAGAATCAATGCAGACCATGCACCTCCTTTTTCTTGAAGTAGAACTGGATAATCCTAGTTGTGCTTTCTACTGTAAAAATTTACCTTGTGCATTTTGGCCAAAAGAAATAGGAGAAATTCTCTGCTGAAGGCTCCTCTGGGTGTAAACTTAGAGGTTTTACCCAACATATATAACCATGCCTGAGGACATGGATGCCAAGGAAACTGATGCAATACCTGTTGCTGAGAGTGCAGACATATTTACTTTGATCCAAATTTTCATTCCCCAGGGCTGTTAGTGATGTTGATTCCCCATGCCCTCATTATAAATGTATAAAAATGGTTCAAGAACTCAGCAGCATAGCTTGGTGCTTGAATCCTCTGCTATATTTTCCTCCTTTTATCTATTCTTTTTTTTAGTTGATTTATGGTAAGGAATTCAAAGTGCTCATGCATTTTATAAAAATTATTCTTACAATTGGCCTTTCCTGATAACAGGGAGCCATAGCTTCGAAATTAGGATGCTGAGTAGGTGAGAACCAGACACCATGGAGGGTTACAGATGTTTCTTCCATTTACTTTTTATTTGTGATATGGCATCTCCTGCCTTGTGCTCTTCCTCGATATGAGTACCTCTGCAATGGCCTAATTTTTTAGTGCTACTTTGCATGTTCGACAACGGAAATTGGTGCAGTAACAAGCAAGATACATGTTGAGCATACAGAATTAGTATTAGTAATCGTGTGACCCAAGCAAGATGTCACACATAAAAGATGCCTAATTCGTTCACAATAAGCCGGATATAGACATAAATCCTGAAATGGAAGGTAGGGTCTGATGGGACTACCGCTTTGAGAATTATGTCCAAATCGGGCATCTTTTTGGTTCCAGACATGGCACCATGGCCTTTAGGAACACCAAAGGAACACAAGTCAACAAAAGATAACGAATGATGACACATAAGAGGCCTCAGATCAGTTCGTTATCTTTTGTCGACTCATCAAGAGTTGATCTGAGGCCTCTTAAGTGCTCTTAAGTGTCATCGTTTGTTATCTGTTGTCGACTCGTGTTCTTGGTGGTACAAGCATGTGCAAATGCAGATACCTGACCCAGGGAGCAGCATCTGAGGTTGGCCCGGCGTAGTACAACACGTCCACCAAAAGAAATACCAAAAGTTCAGGGAGCACGCAAAACTACATTGAGCGGACTCCTCTAAATTTTCTAGGCTGGAAGTTGTAACATTAAAGCTACACAACCAAAAGGTCAAATAATATCGAGATATCCTAGGCCTGTTTAGGAAATGTATCTTGAGATCAGCGAAGCACCGAATATTGGGCGGGCGCTTGTTAGGTGAAGAAAAACTGGTTGAAAAGGAGGCTACTCTCTAAAACTCTCCCCCATCCTACTAAATGTTTTCGACCCTTCAAGAGTATCACCAAGCAATCATCTCAGCAGCGTGGATGATTATCCTGTCCCTCATCCCGCAAGATCTAGTGCGGGCTGGAGCCGTCCTCCTCGGTGTTCTTATATGTCTGCACGCCATGCACCCACGAACCCTCATGAAAACACTTCAACTTCGGCTCTCATCCTTGGAGGAAAAATTACAGGACGCCGTCGATAGTGGAATTATGCGTCAATCGGATACAGTTTTCACTAATCAATTCACGAGAGACATATGCAGGTGGGTCGTTGACATTGTTTCATGAAATAACATGCTTACTGTGTCCACAATATACGCTCTTTAGAATCCGCTACATGACCTTTGAGCTCTACGAGAGAACGCTCATGACGTCTGTAGGTATTTTTCAGGAGATGAAGGCTGTTTGGGAGGGTCTCTCACTTGAGATTAATGAGTGCGTTCGGGATGTTGATGCCTTAGAAAGGGGCCTCGAAGTATGTTTTTTCTAGCTGTTGCCCACCCCAGTTTGACATGATGCACAGATAAACCGCGCAAAAATTCTGAAGAACCAATATCATTCGTGGAAGTGAAAGATTGAACTGAATATACACCATACCTATCATGATCCATCACTGTCCGGCCTAGCCCTTCTCATCGCTATGTTGTTTTTTGCTTTCGTTCTTCTGGTGCTGGCTGGATTGTAATCATATGTATTCCCACATTGATTTAACTTCTGCGTTTTTCGCATAGACAGGATACTCTATCATCTTCTTTGTTTAGCATCCGAAAAGTTAACTGTTGTAAATGTATGAGTATTGAAAACACGTGGACTTGAAGCGTACAGATCAAGACGGCAGTTAGAGCCCTCCACTCAAATGGGGCGATTCTGACAATTGCATGAGAACGCCAGCGTCTTCGCATACAACATCGGAAATCAAGTGGTCGAGGATAGGGACCGTTGTGGAAGGGCGAAGCTGGCGCTTGTCTCGTGTAGTGTGCAGCCAGAGACGTTGTCGCGGAATTAGAGCCGCCACCGCGCCAGTGAGTTGTGAGTGTTGTCGTGGAAGGTGGAAGAGCGGTATGTTCTAGTTGTTGTTTTCACAAAGCCCCAGCCTCTGATTCGCAGTGACCGACTCATCCTCCTCCCAGACTACCAGTGGTTTGACACAATGGTCCCGCACGTAATAGACTCCGATTCCCTCATCGCAAGCACGTCACGTCTATGTGTAGCCTCACGTGACATAGCACCTACGTGGAGGAGGTTCTTACCATTTCGCAAACCCCTTCCACCGAGAAAGAGATTGAGGGGTGCTTCGGTACCGAAGCCTGCGTAGATTTTGGAGGGCATTACGATGGGTGTAGACGAAACGAAGCCAGTAGCATGGCACTCCAGTGAACAAACATGAACGATGACTAAAGTCGTTCTGAATAGATATTTGTTAGGTAATTCGAAGGCAGTCCCGATACTGAGTGTAGCTCTCAACCAATGAAGGACACAGAGCAATTTAGGCTCAAATCATTGCCGATAAAGGCACTTGATGTGGTTGGCCGGGGGCATGTGAAGGTGACGAACTGTAGCATGCAGAAAGTGATTCATCAAGCAAGGCCGCACTACAGCTGTGTACCGTGTCAGTGTCTCTTTTGGGAAGACGACGATGCCAAACGTACGATGAAGCTCAAGACGATCATCTCCGTCAACACAAGACCTATGAAACCAATGAGTCGAGCACAAAGAAATCACAATGAAGTGGAGCCTACAAATCGGTCATGTGAATGAAACGTAAATCAGGGTGCGCACAGGGGGGCGTTCATCTTCTACCCTGGCTCGGTAACGTAAATTTCCGGTTTCCGTCCCCTATCTCTTCGCTATTCTGAAAGTAGGGCAGGATGAGTTATCCGTATGGAGGATGGCAACGATATGAGGTGAAAAAAACCAAAATCCTGGTAAAAGAGGAAGTCAGGAGGACGTTATATCAGGTAACGATGCTTGACCTACATCGTTTGGATCCACTAAATCCGCCTCCACCTTGGGTTGGGGTTCATTTCGATTCATCAAGAGAAAACGGGGATCAGGCCTCAACGACCAAGGGCGGCCGCGGGAAATATGGCTACTGAAGTCCTGAGCTTCGTGAAACGAGCAGGCCTCTGCACCATGTAAGGTTGGGAAAAGTCTCGTGTTTCTTCGTGACTTCCGTATCAAACGGAATGGCATCTGCAGAGTATCAGAAACTATATTTTGGCGTTCTGCCGAAATATATATCACAGTAACCTCAATGTGGACCTAATGCAGAAGATTGGAGAGTTGGCAGTTGCACCAGCATGCCTTGAGTACAAAATTAGCCGTTCTTCCTGGAAGAAGGGTAAAACATTTGTATTGACCTTTATGATATTCATCTGCCGCACTTGAACGTCCGATCCAGGTAAAGTCCACGCAATCGCGTATCAAAAGATCAATGTGCGCATGATTAGTATCGGCAACATCGGAGACGCTCCTGGCCAGAACGTCGGCCGCTTAAAAGTATGCACGGGGTTGCGGAGACACCTGTGCATGTATAAGATAGGTGAATCGGTTGGAAGACGAAGTCAACAGACCTGACTCTCGTGCACCATGACCACCCCACCCAACCTGCGCATCGCAGTCCTCCTCTTCCCTGACCGCCCGAACGTCGTAGATACCATGAACTACCTCAACAACCACAGCCGAGCCTTTCTCACAATCCCCACCGTCCGGGACCTCCTCACGAAAGCGCCCACCTTGACGTGGTACTTCGTCTCCGACACCTTAAACCCAATTACAGCCACCTCTGACCCTGAATAGCTCCCAAAGGATACGCACGAGACGTGCCCGCCTGTGGATTGTATCCTCGTACCCGAGATCGAGCGCTTATCCAGCCTTTCGATGTACAGAGTCCATGAAAAGGGGAATGGGCCGATCCGAAGGTCCTCTGGACAGTCTGTACTGATTCTCTAGTCAGAATTGCAAACAGGTGTCCTGGGCGGGTACCACAGTCTCCTCCAACAAAATGGCACTGAAGGTGGTAGATGCGAGGAGCTTAGGCCATGCGTTGGATGGGTGATGCGAGATGGGTGAAAGATGGGAGGGTGTGGAGTGCTGCGGGGGTCACAATGAGATTGACTTTGCGGGATCGTTTTTTTGATTCGGAGATGGTTGAGTTTGCAAAGGTGAGTGCGGAGGAGGTGATTTCGGAGGAGATGGTCATGTAACTCAGATAGGTATCGAGTACGTTGTCTTTCGCTTTCGTCAATCATCAATCCTTCTACACGGAACAGGGATGTACCGAAGCCCCAGAAATGGTAGGCGAGCGGGTCAAAACGCTCCACCCAGTCGTACTCGGTCTCAGAAGACCTCAGTGAGGAGCCACAATAGCAGGCTGCGTATTCCACACATTATCATAGAACCGCGGGAGCCCTTGACTCTGCATCTGCCTAGAATGTCGTTGCTATTGTTCTTAGGGATACTGAGGCGACATCCCTCGGCTCAAGTGTGGCGAAGACTGATGATGCCCTCGTTGTTGGCTTTGCGAAAAATCCAAACGTCGGTACAGCGGCGACGAATGGTGTGAACAAGTCCCTTGCGCCCGTTGATGTTGGTGGTGTTGAGCAAAAGCAGGGGGTTGACACTGCGATGAAGTTTTTTAAACCTTGGTATTGATACTCTGGCGAGTAGTGTTATTGGGGGAAGGACTTGTGTTGCGAATACTGCTGCTGATGCTGCTCCTGTTAAGGAAGTGTCGCCCGCCCTTGAGTATTCCCAACCTGCCCCAACCACCGACGAACATCCAGATCATTTGGGGTCGTAGGACTATAACTGTTTGGAGCACTTCTGTTGGGCTTATATTCAGGTATTTGTAGGCCTGGTTTTTGTGGTGGATTGGAGGGGGGGGGTTGAAGATAGAGGAGACGGGGGTAAAAGTCTTGTTGTTGGTGCTGGAGGGGTGGAGGGGGTCAAAGTGGAAGAGGAGTACGGGTTGGCAGTATACTTAGACAAAGACCTCTTGGCAGGTGAATGCGGAAACGAAGCACTTGTAGGCAAAAATGCAACAGCCGCGTTTCTCTTCGATCCAGGTCTGAGTGTGGGTCAGGGGCAATTTGACGAAGTCGAGGTAGCTGGGGGTATGCCTCCTGTTCCCGTTTGAGAACCTCATAAGGCTCCTTGACCTCCTCCTCCATACTATACATTCCCCCTCCCCGACGTGAATGCAGGGAGAAGGAAATAACGATGTTGTTTGGGGGATGGTAAATGATGTGCTCATCTATCACCGTGTCAATGTAGGAAAACCTGAAGACGCCAATCGGGAGATGTCGAGCTGCATGTCAGTTAATAATAGTGTTTGAAAGTTAGGTTAGTTAACCGGAAAATAACCGGAAAATAACCGGACCTAACCGCAACACTAACCTAACCGCGGTTAGGGTTAGTTGATTTTGAAAATGGAATAACTGGTTATTTTGCGGTTAACTAACTGTTAAATAACCGGTTATAACCAGCCCTATTATACACCTTCAAAACGCACTTTAGAACGTCAAAAACGCTTAAAATTTGCCTAAGTTACGGTCAAATCTCTAAAATATCACTCAAATGTGTAGACTTTCAAGGATAATTGCATAAATATGTCAATTCTTCACCGATTTTAGCGTTCTTGGGCTCGTTTTAAAGCTAGAATATGCAGAAATAATATCTATCAAGATACATATAAGCATATTTGCCTTGTTATAACCGATTCTTTATTTTTCGGTCCTAACCAGTTAGTAACTGCAAATAACCGACCGTAACCAGTTAGTTGCGGTCCGGTTAGGTTATTTTAGGTTTCAGGACAAAGGCTAACCGGTCTCGGTCTCGGTTAGAGCCCCTGGGCACCCAATAACCGGACCTAACCGGACTTTCGAACACTAGTTAATAACATGCGCAGAGTAGCCATCCGTTGGCCATCCAATACATGTGGTCAGATATACTTGGAACGAGCACGAGTCAGTCAAGGAAGAAGCTCTTGGATCGACAGCATGTAGTATGCACCTGTCAGGATTGGGGATCTATGCGATATCAATACTTGAATGAGCGAAAACTCGAAGGAAGAAGAAAAGGCACTAGTGTTTGAAAGTCCGGTCCGGTCCGGTCTTTTGGTGCCTAGTGCCTTAGACCGTAACCGTAACCAGTCCTTCCAATTCCAGAAACCTCAAAAAACCGGACCGAACCGCAACAGACCGGTCTTTTGCGGTTACAAGACCAGTTTTGACCGGTTCCAGTCTTAACCGGTTTGTGACTGATCTAGACCGGTTTTTTGTAGGGGCAATGCAGCAAAATTCTATGTGGTTTAATGTACGAGGGGGTTAGCATACATGACTTGATTTAGACTACCATTTCCGTATCCAACTCCTGATCCCAAACCAAGGAGGCATTATCGTCGTCAAGCATCTCTTCAAACTCAAGGAATGGTTCAACCTCCTCCTGCTGAAAAGCCGTCCACGCAGCCATATCATACAGGTCAGGTCTCCAAGCAGACCCCATTATCACCAGTTGTTCAAAGACTCTTGAACCCAGGCACGCGCGGCGGTCTGTCGCAATTTGTTTGCTGCCCGAAAATAAACGCTCACAGGGAACGGATGAAGCTTGAGATGGGAGGACGTCGAGCACGATACGTGCCAGTGTAGGGTATAATGTTGCATTGTTCTACAGAATGACGTGAGTGATGAAGAAGATTCTAAAGAAATTCCTTACCTGCCACCATTCAACGAGATCGGTGTTCTTGGTCACATCCCATTGCATTGTACTCAAATAGCGGCGTAACTCCGCTACCCAGCCCTCTATCATGTCGGCAGTGAGAAGCGTCTCACGATGTTTATCGAATTCTGACGCGTCGTCATCATTGGCATCCTGGGTTCCAGTACCTCTTTGATTGGGAGTAGCGCGGGGGCGAGCGTTATAGTATTTGGCCATCTAGTTTAGTACATGTTAGCATATATAATTTTGTGTAAATAGATTCTAGAATGAGCGACGTACGGTTCTCTCCACTATCTTTCTGGCCTTGTCTTGCCAGTCTTTTGCATCAGGGTTTCCTGCCGCAATTTCCGCTGCTTGTTCGTCAGGACCACCCCAAGCCATCTTGATGTAGGCGAGCTTGTAATAAGGATGAAGCACTTCAAATAGTTTATTAACATGTGTCTTGCCATGAGTGGAAGGAAAGCCTTACCGAGAGCCAGTACAAAACTGGGCTTTTCATCGAGGCGGGAATAGTACTTACCCACCTTCTCGAGGCCATCGTTGAGCGCGTCCTTGTACAGCGCATATTTAGGGCTATCTCACTTCTTCTCCCATGCCGATTGGAGTTGCTCAAGCACGGGAAGTGCGCGCCACAGGGTTGGCTCCTGTTCCAAAGAAAAGTATTGTTGAATCCGGTTTGAATCCTAGTGAATTTCGTTAGTATCCCCTCTTGTAGCCAAATGAAATGACGTTACCGCAAGTATATCGCGTGCATCGATTACTCTTGCCCAATCTGACTCGACCATCTTGAAGGCAGACCAGGGTATGTGTTTCAGGAGACGATTATTGCGCCGCAACGTCGTAATCGGGCCATACATCTCATCCGCTGAGCTAACAAATAATCCGATTGGCTGTCAATGAGGTATCAACAAGATGAACATGTAATAAAAATAGTAATAGTAATACGTACCTGACACAGTTTATTGGCCTGGTCGAGCATTTTGTATGCTGTCCCCCAGCGAATATTACTATGTAATGGTATCTTCAGAGCTTCAGGGACTCCGCAACGGATCTGTGTACTGTGAAAGTATTCAATACGCTGGCCAGACGCTTGAATCTGAGCGTAGATTTCATGAGACAATGCGTGAAGTTTCAGGGAGACGAGTAATCTTACCTTGATTGCAAGTGTCCGGATCGCAGCAATCACATCAAGGGAGCCGCCTAGAACACGATTGTCAGCTCGGGTGGGATCATATTCCCAGATGGCTGTCGCATTTTCGACAGCCGCAATCTTTGTGATGTGGCCCATCACGTCAATGTTCCCAAGGTTGACAACGTGTCCGAGGCAACTATGGACAACAAAATTCAATCAAGGGGAATGGAAATGAATGAACAAAATGTACGGTAACTGTTGCTCATCACTATTCCATTCGAGGCCTCGCCGGGTGTGAATATCCTCAATTGTTTTGCAGGTGGTATTGTTATTTCCCGTGTTATCCAATGTTGCTGTATATAGCTGATCAGAATAATATCAGCAGGGTCAATGACAAGCGACAGGATGACAAGCGACAGGACAAACCTTTGTTCCAGTTTTGTCCATAATCCCAACACGGTCGAGCAGACCTACAGAATATCTTCCGAGGTTCTCCCCGCTATGCCCACCTGATAACGCCTTGAACCCAATAACGGCCGATTTCAGCTTCCACTTCCCATCCGTCACTGCAATCCAATGCGCAGTCATTCCTTGAAAGCCTGCCTTCGTCGTATCGGCTGACCATCCGTCTTGAGTTATCAACACTTTCCCAGGAGCTGCCTAAGGTAAGTCGTCAGCATTATCCGAGGCATCGAAAAATGAAGTTCTTACGGTTATTTCTTTCTTTAGCAACTTCATGTGTTTGGTAAATTCATTGTGGAGGTGTATTTTGGCGTCGTAGGAACTGGGAAGGTCGTTAGTCGTCGATTTCGGCCTCATCGCTACCAAGGCATTTCGAAATGCAAGGTTATCGGCCAGAGCAAGTGGCTATAGGTGCGTAACACATCATTTATCTGAATAGAACGTCAACGAATGACTTACTTGGTTATTAGTTGCAATCAGCTTCGTGACTGCATGGAGTGCTGCCTCCCTTGTGAACTCCCGCGGTCCTGTAACGGTCTTGAAGTCTAACAGCTGTTGCTGCTGCTTCTTCGTCAGCCAACCTCTCTGTTTTGCATCCTTCTCCTCCTCCATGGTCTTCCAGATATCTCGAGGTATGGCCCAATGGCTCATTGGTATGTTTTCTTTTTCGCATTTTTGCTTGTAAAGATCGTAATGCTGACGGATATGTGCACGACATGAAGAATTTCCTCCCTTAAGGAAGGCCTTGCGCTTCCCATAGGTTTTGACGAATGCCTCGTCACCCCTGGTCGGTAAGTAAGCATCTCCGTGGAATGGTAGCGCAATGGCTTACTTGCAAACAGTACACCAACGTCCTACCAATGTATCATACTTGTCGGCACTTGTCTTGAACTTCACGGTGACTCTGTCAGTCATTATAGTGAGGAGGTCGAGCATTGATTCCTTTTTTACAGGTTTTTCTTGGAGGTCGGCTCCACGTTGGTGGTCATTGAGACCGTCATCCTAGGGTATGGTAAGTCAACGAAGCTTGTATCAGGTGATAACGCTAACCTCTTGTTCATCAGCAGGTTGCTCATCATCAACACCATCATCCACTTCCTCAACATCCTGACCAGGCCGTTCGTCATCGTCAGCCACCTCCACTTCGTCTGAACCTGAAAGCTCGATACGCTGATGCTTTCCGCCTTTCTTCTTGGGTCGGCGTGGTGAATCGGAGTCGCTAGCTGAGGAAAATTTGTTGTGTTCGGGGCCGCTCTCGTCGTCAGAGCCCCTTGTTGCCCTTTTGCGGGTGCCCTGTGTCGTCGCCGATTTTGACTTGCTCTTCCCCGCGCGTGGCTTACCCTTTGGCTTGGGATCATGGAGTCTTGGTGGTATCCCTTTAGCAATAGTTCGAGTGGTAATAGGCATGGTAGAGTTGAGACTGCCGTGTATTTAAATTTTCATTGACAGCAGCGGTATATTTGGCAATGCATTATCAAAGGTTCCTATCAAAAACATAGAATTTGAGGTAAGTATATTCCAAGTTGTAAGCTTGGCCACACCACAATTTGAAGGCTCGAAAGACCGGTCTTTAACCGGTTAAACCGGTTTTTGCCCGGTCTTGAAAATTTGGAATTCATAGAGGACCGTAGACCGAACCGCGGTTACGGTCTTTGTCGGTCCTCATAATTTGCGGTCTTCATCGGTCACAGTCTGGTCTGGTCACGGTTTTTTTCCAGTCCTGTGACCGGACTTCCAAACACTAGGTGGGAGAGTGGAGTTGATTGACTTTATACTCAATGCCTAAAATAATTTGGATTATTGTTAAACTCAAGCTCAACAGGATAAGAGCTTACTTTTTTCGTCCTTGTCTGATTCAGACATGGGGAGAGGTCGTTTGGAGGGAGAGGCAGGGGCATTGTTAGAGTTGTTGGGTCAAGAACGTTCTAAAATCTGTTGGATAGTGGGACTTTGTTTGTCTTTCGACACAGGGACCTATATAAATTATTAGACAGATGATAGCCAGAAGTCAAATCAGGTGTTACTTTATATTTCAAGGGGGACGTGATTGTTATGATGTCGCCTGCTCGTCCAGGGGCACTCGGGCTTAACCATTCCTTTAATTCATAGGACTAACAGTTTTTAGTGAAGGGGTGAGATGTCTGAAGGTAGGGCACACATACCTTGTTCTTGGCCTCGTATTGCTTTGCATCAGCTTCAACAATCTCATTCAGTGCAACAGGTTGGTCCTGATAAAGATGGAACAGTTTATCAGTGCAGAGAGTCAGTGCACCTAAAGCAAAACGGTTCTTCACTCTTGATTTGTTGGTCGTGTAGTTCAGCTGAATCTTCATTAGCGATTTTAACGGAAGATGCAAGAAGATATTACATTGGTTTGAGGTCCGATGTAGAAGTCCCCGAGAGCACTGTTCTTGATCCCCAGATGTGCTGGTTGGATCTCGCCAAAGATGTTGACTTTGAACTCCAACCCATCCTGACTTTGAACTCCGACCCATCCTGACTTTGATATTCGAACCCAGAGGCCCAAGTAGTTTTGCAGAAAAAGTGTGTGTTATACTGACAGTTCACAAGAAAACCGGTGCCAGATGAGGTGATGAGTTCATGAAGTGAGTCATAGACACCATTAGATTTGCAGTCTGCGTAGTGGGCATTGACAGGGGATGCCATTGTGCATTGTTTGGTACATGTCGAATTGCTTGTTAAAGAGAAGGCCCATTAATAGGAGACGTCCATGCTAAACTGATCTAGAAAGTAAAGGAGTTTGCTCTCCGCAGCGTCATTGAACCATCAGAGGTAAGGAGATGGTCATCATTGTCGAGCTCACTCTGAAAGGGGTGCATCAATGTGGTTGGTTCGAGAGGCATGCCTTTTCAAATCACGGGTTGTGCATCTGCTCACAGGATCTTGTTGGGTGGCCAAGTTGTCAATGGCAGCTTGGGTCTCAATGACATTGGTACTGCACCAAACAGTGGTCTCTAGCACAATCTCCCTCAGTCGTTTGTTTTCTACTCTCAAATCTTCCGATACATTGCAGGTTATTTTGTTTCTGGAAAACGATCTCAAAATCAACAGTCCCTTGATCGAAGTAACATGGGACAGCATGACATAGAGGGCTTCAGAGCCTCTGCAAGATTGGAGGTCAACAATTACGGCGGACAGTGTTTGTCCTTGAGCCCGATGTGCTGTCATGGCAAACACAGGTACAATCGGAACTTGAGTGCATTTAATGGTAACATTCTAACCAGATTTGTGTTTATTCATAATAGTGAAGTTGACTGAATCCCTTAATACTGGGACTTCATTTGGCATCAGGTGAGGCATCGACTCTTCGTTGGCATCTTCCACTTTTACAACACAGGAAATCAGCATGCGCTTGCCGGTTTTGTCAGTTCGGTACCGAATGTGCTTAACTGTCCCATAAGTTCCATTCACAATTCCTTCTTGAACATCAAAATTTTGTGCCACCAATATGGGCATGCCTATGACTAGTGGAAGACGACCCAGGTGGCCTTTTGTGGTGCCTGAATGGATTGTTTGCAGACGGGTCAGCAAATCTTCGTTCACTAACACAGAACCTTTACATTTGTCTTCTGCATAATACCAATGCAGAGTCTGGTTCGTGGATTTGGCGAACACAATCGCACATCATTCATTTAGAGTGTCTTTGGCCACGTTATCAGTGATGATCACAGGAGAAAATTTCCACCGAGGATTTTGTAAGTCTATGTCATCATTCTTACCTATCACTCATCCTTTTAAAAGTTCGTAATCAGATTCAGTGCATTCTCCAACCCAGAGCTGTGTCAATAAGTCGCAGAAACAACTATTTCCCAAACCTTGCTGCCGCATATTTGTTGTCAGTTCAACTACAGTGTTGATTGTCAGCCAGAGAATTCGGCCAAGCACCTTCTTTTCTTTTGTGATGTTTCCCACCCCAAATCTTGTGTTGACATTTGAATAGAGTCGAGTCTGAAGAACAGGTGGGAGTTGGGCGAAATCACCAGTGAAAATGATATTAATGCCACCAAAAGGTTCTTCATTACCTTTGGCTTCTGATAACCGTTCACTGATTGTCAGTAAAAATTCACAGCTGATCATTGAGACTTCATCAATTAATAAAAAATCTATGCTGTTCCACATAGAAATCAAATCATTTTTTGATTGGTTCCTGCACTCAACATGTTTTGTAATTCCTAGTGCCGCATGAAGCGTCATTCCACCCACATTCTTGGCAGCTATTCCCATGAATGCACTTACATGGAATCTTCTACCTTGGCCTTTAGCATCAAAGTATGCATTGATTGTGTTAAAAACCCGACTTTTACCTGTGCCCACTGGCCCGGACAAAAACATATGCAAGGGTTCCCCAAGACCTCTACGTTTGAGACTTCTGTTGGCAATTATGTTAAAGGCAGTCGTTTGCTCTGCATTCAAACCCCAGCTTTTCACAAATGTATTGATGTCAAGGCTCACTGGAGGGTTGGTTACCTCTGAAGTTGCGTCCCTGTTGTTTGATGGCCCAGCCGATAGTGACTCTTCGGTTACCGATACAAGGTGTGGATCGTGGCCAGATGTTCCCTGTGAGGTGGATTGAAAACTCTCAACTGTTGATCCCATGTCATAATCATCGGTTAACTGACTTTCTTTTTCACACCATGCTGACTTCCTTTTTTCATAGGCATCCTTCCAGTCCACTTCATACATGGTCAGGATTTGACTTAAATCCTCTTCCATGCCTTCCAAATCATATTGCGTGGTCCCAGTCAGGTCAGAACACAAACTGCTGTTTTCAAAACACGCTAATACATTCGACGTGTTTTTTTCAGATTCATTGACGTATTTCAATACATGTTCGTCCATGTCTTGCAGTAGACTGTGTAAAACTTCTTCATCAACACCAGCTGTAAGATCATCTTCTTCGGTGACACAACTTGTGTTGATGACATTGTTAGAAATCAGCTCAGTAGTTTGTCAATTTCGGTTATGGAAGTGACTATCATGGCTGTCTTTACACTCGTGCAGTGATTGCATGTTGTTCAACAAACACTCAATCTCTGGTGTGTATTCCATCATACACCACAGCTTAAAAATCAGCAACATCAAACCATCTGTTGTTTATCCCTGAATCTACTCTACCACCTGCATCCAAGCAAACTCCATACTCCATCTCATGCATTGTCTCTTTGTCACTCCACTCTGGCAACACTGCTCCTGACTCTGCCTTCAATGCCCTCACATACTCCTGCTCCATCAACGATGATGCCAGCTAGTTACCCACAATGTCTGTATCAGGGAGAATCTGTGCTCAAATATCTTGAGGGACATTGGAAAGCTCAATCCCTTCAGCCATGTCTGATGTGGGTGGTAAGTTGTTGAAAACATTTCAACACTGCAGAATCCAGTTTGGACCTCATATATTTCAAATTATGGTCAGTATCACAGTGACTAATGTAATTTCAAATGTGTGCCTTGCAGTCGTTCCCCCCTATCTGCCAAAAAAAGGCTATGTAACGGTCATTTCCCCCATGTGTCGAGTTTAAACAAAGTGTTTACTCAAGTCCAATATAAGCTGACCAAAGGCTAGTTGCATGCACACAACAACAGTTGTGTGTCTGCTGACACACGACTCAGGGCCACTGCTTGCTTCTCTCTTCATTTCACATGTTCCACGCTTGGATATGCACTACAAGGCTCTGATTTATTTTTAGATCTTACCCCTCATGGTTGAGGAGTGAGCTTGAGACACCCCTTTCTGCTAGGCTCTCGTCTCAACATCTCACTCCTCAACCAGGTAAGATCCCCAATTTTTTATCTAGACTCTTGTCTCGATATCTTACTCCATTATTAGTATTAGCACACACTTTTTTGTCAAATCAAATACTACGTATTCATCGTTCCTCAATCTATCTCATGAGTGAAGATCATGCCAACCTCTTTGCGACCGCAGTCCCAGAGAATGCCAGATCGTCCAGCACTTTGGGATTGAATGCAATTGGACGAAGTGACGACAATCAGACCAGCTCTGCTGGACAGGATGGACCCTCAACTCGAGACCGAGCCAACTCTGTTGCGCAGGATGAGGACCTCCAGAATGACACAGGAGAAATCCAAGTCCCACTCCAAAATAACGAGAGCATCGGCAAAGACGACCTTGAAGAATTCTCCAGAGGAGAGAAACCTCAACTTGAGGAAGAATCGATCAGATATATGGATGACACAGTTGATAAATTCAGGCGAGGAGAAATTACAAAGCTCAAAGCCCTGTCGAACATCATTGGAGCCCTCAATTTCGACCCATCCAACACTAACAGAGGGAAGGATGCCGCTATCAAATTCTATGCTAAAACCCTTGAATATGCAGCCCTCACTTCTTCAGTGGTTAAGCAAGGAAAGCATGCCGCAATTGGACTCAAGCCGAAATCTGTTCAACACAAGCAACATGAACCTAAGACCATTGACACTGTCGGAGTTTTCTAATTCGGCATCTCAACCGGTTCTAACTTGTTGTGGACATTCCTATCAAAATTGCCATCATAATTAAGAGCAACCAAAGAGTTTTTGGTTACAATTTTGGTCCCATCCAGGGTGGCAACCTGGTTGCAACAGGTGGCAACAGGAGTTCCAGTGTGATTGTAGCCAATTTTGGGCTAAAAAATGGAAAAATAAAGAACTTTCAACAGTTAGCACTGGTTAGAATGCCGTCCCAATTTTGGCTGGTTGTGACAAAAGGAATAAATCTCCGACAACTGACCAAGTGATTGACGAGCTCATCTCTCAAATCAGCAGAGACAGCAACAGGTTGAAAGGGGTAACTTGCCTTCAGGATCAGACAATGATGATGATGGAGACGACGACCCCTCAAATAAGAAACAAAGAGTTTTCGAATCCGAGATGCCCTGGTATAATCGAGAGGATGAAGCAAGGCAAAGCAGAAACAGAGATTGCAAAGAATCTTGACAAATCCTCCAACTCTTCACCTGTGATTACAAAGTCGTCAAACAGTGGATCCAAAATTCAAGGACTGCACCACTCAGTTTCCCCACTTCAGAATGGGACAACATCATCAAGGGACAAGCCGTCAACCTTGACACAGTGTTCTCATCACTGCACCATATTTCTGCTCCTAAGGAGAATGTTGGACGCATGGGATCAACTGAAATATCCCTTGGTCAATCAGACCCAGCAAAGCAGGGCAGTTAGTAGGAATCACCCACCAACACTGAGAGGCCTGACAATACAAACAGGCCATAGTTGATGGTGCCTGCTGATGGGCTGATGAGGGCCAATAACCCTGTGTTGATGAATTGGCCGATGTGATCCCACTATCAAGGTAAAGAAGGGTCGGCCAGCTACGTAGATTTAGCATACACCGATCAGTAGGAAGCTGCCCCGGGAAGTCAAGTCCCTGTATTTGTATATCGGCTGATAGCTAAGCTATGCAAGGTCGGCTGAGAGTTTGAACATGTA